ACTATCTTGTGGAAGGTAATGACGCAATTATATTCAGCTATAAAAAACTGGAAGTGTTGTTGCTGATGGGTATTGAGATGGGCTACATCAGTTCGCATTTACATTATCTTTATATAAGTGCTACGAAAGTGTGGAAAAATTTTTTTCCAAGAAGGCTTTCTAGTTGCCAATAACTCAAAATACCTGTATTTACCATTGATTCGAGAGGAAAGCCAAAGCTCTCTATATAATATTGCGAAATATATCTCAAAAGATTGGAATCCATTCGTATATGTGTCAAGGCTATATAAAGACCTAAAATAGAAAATAGTTTGGCTCACAACCAGATAACCTTTTGGGGTTTGCATCTACAAACCGAGTACTGTTAAATGCGCATGGGTCTTCTACAACACAGATTAGCTACTGGACAGTGAAATTGTAGGAAAATTTGAAACAAGTTACGAAAAAAAAAACTAAATTTGTAAAAAATAAAAATGTCTTGTATCCAGATTTTGAGACAATTTTGTGGAACATAAAGTTTCAGAGACTTATTAACCAACCATCATAAACACAACACAAACTATTGAGCTAATTTCGAAACTCTACGTCAAATAATTACAACATACCTATAATTTCAAGATCATGAATAAATAAACTTTATTGTATTTGGAGTTGTTACACACGGTATGACAAATTTCCCAAGATGTGGGTATAAGTATGGCTAATTCGTAAAAATACTTGAAATCGCATATATATATGATAATGATATATATGTGGGACATTACAAAAGAGTCACTGATCCAATGGTCTTTATTATATTTATTTAAACAAAATAAATACATTCTGAGATATATAGTAACATCTTAAACAACATGCCGCATGCATCGAGTGTGTTGCAACATTTGCATTCTGTAATGAAGTAAGCAACATTAGATATTGGGATAGTCCTCCGGACTATTTCAGACTATTTCTTTTCGGCTTCTTATGCCTGTTAAAATACTCCCTAACACTTTTTGGCTTTTGGAAACCTCTTTTGGTTCATGGTCAAAATTATTATAATTATATGTGACTCTTTGAAACATTTCCAAAAAGGATGATTAGATCCCAAAACAAAAGCCTAAATATAGTTTTTCATAGCCGAGTTTAGTAAAAAAATTATTATTATTTAAAAATTATTATTTTTTAGAGAATGGAAAATCCGATCTAATCACAAAAGAATACTAATCATTTTATTGACTTAGAACTGTGGGTATATATAACTAGCAAGTGCCTGCTACTTCGTCAGCGAAAAGTCCACCTTCAATTTTAGATTCATTCCAACAGATCGTGTTAGGCCATTTTAGTACTCAAATTGCACAAGTTGTTCAATTTGACAACATTTTCAATCGAAACTTCTTACATCGAACAACAATTTCAGACTTTCAAGGCTTTCATTCCTTTTTCGGAAAGAATAATTTGAAAATTGTAAAATTTTACACCAAAAACTTTTGATAATCATTTATTTTGAAGTTTATCGAGTAGGATATTAATAAAACCATTGCACAATGGATCCATATCCAATTTTTCTATAAAAATCATTACATCCATCTGTAAACCCTCGAAACCAACAGTAACCACAATATCTAATTCCAGAATTTCAACTCTATCCATTCACTCAACACCAAATTTACATATCTCCAACCTAGACCACAACAGTGGTCCAATTTGTACCATTTTGTACTTTTCAAACAATTATAGCACACGTTTCCAAAAACGCCTCAACATCTCAATTCCAGATATTAACTGAGACCTTAATATCAAATTTCGGGATTCCAACTCCAAACATTCACGTAATAGCAAATGTATTAAAATTTAGTACTTTAATATACTCACTTTGTACTTACTCATTTGCAAAACCGTTTCATATCTCAATCCTAGACCAATACCAACAGTTATCGCAGGATCAAATTTCACAGTTTCAACTCTATCTCTTCACCTTCCTTCCTTCACCTACTTTATGAACAACTATATTACGCATTTCTAAACCTCCACCAAATCTCAAACACAGATACCATCAATAATCTAAATATCAAATTTCAGAATGTTATCTCTTTCCCTTCAACATTTCCGAAACTACCTCCATATGTCCAGGCTATGCGAGATCAGCGAACCCAATACCCAATTTCAGATTTCAGCCTATATCTTCAATTTCAATGTAATACAATTTTGTAATTTTGGTGCACTGGTAGTACAAATTTCCAAAACCAACATTAATTCTCAATCCTATACAGTAACCCTTAAGCCAAATTTCAGATTTTAAGCAATATCAGTATCATTTTGTACGCTGCTGAACAAATTTCTAATCCCAACTCTTTACCTTGTTACCAACTCCAGCAGTTACCGCCAATTCAAAATTTCAGCTTCATCTGCACCAAACGCACACTTAGTACAGATTTCTAAAACAAATTCTTTAAAGTAACTGCATTTCGAAGAATTGATTCTCCTACTAATTTTCAACATTTTAGCACTATCCGTTCACATAATTCCAAATTGTACCAAATTTATCTAGCTTCAGCCTATTCGACTGGCGTGGCGATGAATCAGTCAGTCACTTTTACTCATTTTTATATATAGATAACTAAACTAATTTGTGGACTTACCCAATTATTCCCATGCAATCTTCAGGACGGAGAAACTTGATACCAACGCAGAAATTTACCCACAAGATATAATATTAAAATTCCGTACAGTTTTTGCAGCCAGACTTATTCGAAATTATATTTTCTCTTTTTCGTATTCATAAATTCTTTTCCTTATCAGAAAATTTTATGGGAAGTTTTGTTTGGAGTTTATTTAATAAATAATCTCTCCAAATTGTAAAATTTTAAATTTTCTGACAAACTATTTTTTTTGGCCTACTCCTCATTCAAAAGCCCTGAATAGATGTATGCTATGCAGTTTAATTGTTAAAAGTACCAAATTGGCCCATTTATAATTTCGTCTTATCCGTCTTCTACATATTAATACACGTAGAAAAAATTTTGCTCAAATATCGGTAGAATTTTGATAATCAAAAAATATATGTTTAGATCCAAATTATGGTATAGTTGCCATATAAGGGCATTGTCGAATTGAAGGTATTTATATATCTCAATGCATGAATTTCATATTTTTTATCTCAATGAATAGAAACCATCCCTGCAAGTTCCATGTTGGTAAAATTTCGTCTAGATCTCCAAGAAAACGGCTTGATTTAAATAATGGTGAGTGCACTTTGACAATTTAGTTTCTCAATAGAACAAATCGCTTTCGGTAAAAAAAATTGGGTGAACTTTTTGGAAAACACCATCGAAGTTGTCAGAAATGTATGTTGAACCATTTGGAGCCCAAATAGACAAAATTTTACTTTTTTTGATGAAAATTGTTCAGACCCCACAAAATTCTCCCATAGAACTGAAATAAAGGCATAACTTTGGGTTATGGTGATTTGTGTCACACTTTTCAGCAAAAATGTTTCAAATTTGGAATTTGGTGTTTCTATTGGGTCTACATACTATGGCAGAAAATTGCTGGGGCGTTTATATCCTCCATATAATGGTAACTCCCTGTTCTCGGTACAGGGTCATTATTCACCGGAATTTATTCAAGGAATCAATCAATGGTCGAAAAATGACTCGTGAACTGATCCTATGGCAATATTTATATTCGGCAAACATTGCAAGAACTTACACCGCAACGGAAATAAAATAGACTCAAAAGAGCTAAAGAGTTGCTTCGCTTGGCCGAAAGTGGTGAACTGCCGAATTTGGCTTTCTCCAATGAGAGAACATTCGTTGTCCAGCAGTTTGTAAACAAACAAAATGATCGCGTTTACTTACTAAAGAGGTCAGCTGAAAATGAGCACCTTTGGTTGGCCACCAGAACTCAAGCGCCGGCCATGGTGATGGTGTGGGCCGCCATAACAGCCGATAAATCGACCGTGGCATCAGAATAAATGCCGAATATTATCGCGAAAATAATAAAGACTTGGGTTCGCCAACACTTTGACCGCAGTCCTTGGACATTCCAACAGAACTCAGCATCATCGCACTCAGCACGCGCCACCCAAGAATGGTTACAAAATGAGATTCCTCGCTTCATTTCCAGCGCACAATGACCACCAAAATCTCCGGATACCAATCCGTTAGACTATTGCGTCTAGAGTATTTTGGAAAGCAAGGTTGGTACTGAAAAAATAAAATTCAATAAAATTTAATAAAAAATGCAAAATTTATGGCGTTTGACTTCGTTGAATTTTTTTTTTATCTCACCCTGTAATTATTGCGATGTGTAAAATTGGAACTATTATTCAAAAATTTAAACTTTTTTTGAGGGAGGGAACACGAGCTAAGTGTTGCAAAAATGTTTCGAGATTTGTCGTGTACACTAACCGGCCAGACAGACAGACAGATTTAACTGATCGACACCAATGGTTCTGAAATGGATTTCAGATATGCACCGTTATTTCGACATACCCTCTGCTGCCATGAGGCTGAGGATATAAGGAAACAAAACTCCCATCTATTTAGCTTTATTCAAATCTCGACATCAAGTTTAAAAATTATTCTACCCTCTATGTTCATAACAACGGCATCAGACTGTATATCGGTAATAATTATGCAAATCGTAATTTCAGCAGAATACATCCAACAATTCGACTTAATAGAAAACCACTGATTAATCATTAGTAATATGAAATAATTTTCACATCATTAGCAACCCAATTGGATCAGATTAGCTTTACATCAACTACCTCGTCAATTTCATTTCCAGTCAAACACAATGGAATCAAACTACATTTTTTTTACAAGTAAAAAAAGCAAAAAATACAAATTTATTTTATTTGTTTATAATTACATTATGTTGTTGTTGTTGGCGTTGTTATAATTATACAATTAATAAAATTTGACTATGTGTATTGTTGTTGTGTTTTTGTTGGTGATGTTTCTGTGTTGATTTTGTGTTTGTTGTGTGTATATATATATTTAATGAGAATGTTGGTGTTGTTCTTAGCAAACAAAATCAAAGAATTTATTCACCAGTCATCATTTCCATGAATTCTAAAAGAAAAAAAAAAACAGAAGAAAATATTTTGGATTAAAAATTGTGGAAACTATTCAATGTTTGTATATATGAGTGTGTGTGTGAGCGTCTGTGAGTATTTCATTTTTCTAAAAATTATTTTTAGTTTTTATATTTTTGTTGTTGTTAGGTTTTGTTTTTGTTATGTTATGCTGTGCTGTGTTGGGCCCTCTGACATTGCCTATGTGTATTAAGCACTATGTGGGGGTGTATAAATTGCTTCTCCTTGGCAGGGGGATAAACATTTGGTGGCCTGCGTAAGTGCTTTGTCGAACCAACTATAAAAATAACCTCAATATCTCTATCTAGCCGTCTCAAAAATTATAGTGTTTTCCATTTGTTCTAATTTTTTGTTTTGTTTTTGGAATAGAAAAATATTTAGTTCTATTTGTTATGGATATGTACAATTTGTCATTTTGGCAAGTTGCTGATGTTTTTTTTCTATTTCTCTAGACATGTTGAGATTAGTATGAAATATTAAATAACGTTCACCATTTTCGTTTCTTTTTGCTTGAGCAAAATATCTTTGATCTTTTTTTTTTTTTTGAAATTGGTTAATTTTTGTTTATCAGTACCTATTCTTAAAGAAGCACTTTAATGGTAATAGTTACAACCAATATAGTCTATAACTATATTTATAAAAGAGTAGTGAAATAACTGACTGACGGACTCATCTTGAATCAACGCCCAAACGAAACGACTAAAACGACTATTCAAAATTCGGAGTAAAAGGGTACCAAAGTACACTTTTTTAGGATTTACTAAAAATTTAATACTTTGTAGTTGATAAACAGAATGAACTAGGATTCTTAAATTGGCACTCATAGAGTGCAGGATAGATGAGCCAAAGGGTTTTTGGAAATTCGAACTTTAAGGTTACGAAAAGATATAAAATGGTACCATTTGATTTTATGTAAACGGAGCTAAAAACTTGAACTTGAGCGTTTAGTGCTTATTTCGCTTTCTTTGAGCGTTTTGTTTTTCAAAATCTAGAACCCTGTGTGGGGAGGTACCAGAAGAAATGGTCCGATCTCTACCATCTTTATAACAGATCAAGTGTAGATGGAAATATTGAGATGTACCAAGTCTGAATAGAATCGAATGCTAACTTCGCCTTTTATGAGCTTCATATATATTCAAAATTCTGAGCCATTGTGGGGGAGGGACCAGAAGGAGTGGACCGATATATACCATCTTCACAACAGAACAGAAATAATGGGATGTGTGAAATATAAAGAGAAACTGATGCTTATTACAGATTTTATAAACGATTTAGTTATTCAAAACTTTGACTCTTTGTAGGAGAGGTACAAGAAGGAATGGTCCGATTTATACCGTTTTAATAACAGATCCTGTGTTGATGGAAAAATTCAAAATTCAATTGTAATTATTCAAAATTTTGACCATTTGTGGGAGAGGTACTTGATAGAATAGACCGATATTGTCAATTTTCACACCTGACCTAGTACTGACGCAAATGTTAGGATTTGCAAACTTGGAGCAAAATTGGATTGTCCTTTCTCTTTCTGTGCAAAAAATATATAAATATTTGAAAATTTAAATATTTTGAAAATTTCGACCTTTTGTGGGGGAAGTACCAGAAGAAGTGGACCGATATTGCCCATCTCCGAACTCGATCTAAGTTTGATAAAAATATTACGATGTACCCAGTTTGGACAAAATCGGATACTCCCTTCGAGAGTTATCGGGCGCACCAGCCAGACAGACAGACGGCCTGACTCCCAATCGTTTGAAACGGATTTGGTCCAAAGGGACCTAGGGTCTAAAACCGTTATTTCAACTAGGCACGTTTGGACCGTATCAAATTGTAGCCATATGGCTGAGGGTATAATTATAAAACCCTAAAGACTGAAATTTTAATTTTTTTTAATTTTAAATATTAAAAAGGAATAATTAATTTTAGGGCATACTTTTCGCTGAACTAGCGGGACATTGCTAGTATTTGTATAAAAAATTAAAAATTCAATTTAATTTTCAATATTTCATTTTGTCCGAATATACGTTGTTTTTATTAAAACAACAATAATGGCAACGATTTCTCAATCATTTAATATATTGTGGCCCAAGCGAATTGGAAAATTCGTTAAACGTGGCAGGGCTATAAGCCACATAATTAAAGATGGTACCCTTGATAATCTCAATAATCTTAACTCGGTATTTGGAAATAATTTTTTTGTGTGTCAATAAAACAAATTAAAATAAAACGCGCAATTTCTTTCTATATTTGTTGGGCGCCACGCAATTTCCCATTTGTCCCAGCCACTTATCGTTGCTATTTTTCGAAGACACAACCATTTGACAAATATCCATCATGTGTCAAAATTTGCTGTCATTCGCATTCAAACAAAAGCATGTTTTCACGACAATAGACATTTGGCCAAAATATCACAAATTTTTGTTTGCCTAAACAAAAATTCAAACATTGAAAAAATGAGGCACCCACAGACACTTCTGACAGATTATGACATTCAACTCTTGTCATAAAATACTAATTAGCTGCTCAAAACATTTTTGTTTTTGTTATTCTTTCATCTTTGCTACTTACCATCGAAATCGACGGTACCGGAACCATCAGAATCGATTTCTTCAATCATGATGTCCAATTCTTCATCGGTCAATTGGTCATCCAATTCGCGCAAGATTTCACGCAAGCAGGAGGTGGGGATGTAACCGTTGCCTTGTTTGTCGTACAAACGGAAAGCTTCGCGCAATTCCTTTTGCATAGCTTCAGCATCTTCTTCAACAATGAATTTGGCAGCCAATTGAACGAATTCTTCGAATTCCAAACGGCCAGACTTGTCTTCATCGACTTCTTCGATGAGTTCTTCCAAGATCTTCTTGTCGAAGGGTTGACCCATCAAACGCAAAATATCGGCAACCATATCGGTGGAGATACTGCCGCACTTTTGGCTGTCGAAACTGTTGAAAGCCTTTTGCAAAACGGCGATTTGCTCGGGGGTAAGATCTTCATCCTAGCGAAATGCAAAAAAAATATATATATATTATTTACAACATGATAGGCATTTATTTTTTGTTAAAAAAAAACCGTTTTTTAATTTCTTAAAAAAAATTATAAAATGTAATTGATTGTATTTAAGGCAGTTATTAGGAGTTTTATGTTTTCTGAAAACAATTTGTGTGATTTAAGGGATTTTGCAGTAACGTTCGTATTCGAAATTTGCAGGGACTGTCATAGTCTGAGGGAGTTATTAGGAGTCCCATGATTTCATAAAACAATTTATTTTACGGGATTGTGGTAAATCGAATTCAATGGATTCGAATTTTACAGACACCAACAGAAAATTTTGTAGAAACTTAAAAAATCCAATTTTTTCACAATAACTAATTTTGAAAGTAATTTCATGTGTGTTTTATTTATTTTGTACAATATTTTTTAATTACTTTTATCAAAAATACATGTCTCACAATAACTATATATGCGCAGGATTGAGATGGCCAATCAGTTAGATATAATAAAATTCAAATGCAATTGTCGAAAAGTTTATCATTGTCGTTCATTTTTAAAAACTTCAATTGTTTTAAATTCACAATCTGATCTTCGCTGTTCATTTTAGTTTTGTTTTTAGTCGTTTGAGATTTATTTATTTTAAGACAATTTTTTTCAGAAGAAATTCTTATTCCCATTTGATTTTCACAACTCCAATAATGGTCGAATATCAACATTACCCAGATGTACGTTAATCCTTTAATGTTTCTTTAGTTTCTCTTTCTCATGTAGTATTTTCAATTTCAACCAAAATTATGTTTCTTTTAAATTTTCCACCATTCCATGACACTTACAATGAATTGATCATCCATGTTGGCGGGATTGTTTTATTTGAGTTAACTTTGATAAAAATTGATCACCGATGTGCCTCTTAGGCGTTTGTTGTTCAACTAATTTTTGTGATTTTACCGCCGCTAAGAGGATGAGTTTTCTTTCGATCAGAAAAATGTTTCCACCCCCTCCCAACATAAACATATTAATCGTATACCCCAACACACACATGGAAATACTCACACGTTTTCACAATGTGAACACAACAATAAAAGAAAATCGGTGTTGTTGGACATTCCAAAAACAAAAGATTTTCCAATACACACACATGTAAATACATTTCGTCAGAATTTCGTCGGAAGCAACAATAACAAATAACACGAAGAAATGCGTTTTATTGTTTTCCTTAAGTTTTCTCTGCTTTAAACAGAGGCGTTGCATCGATTCCCATTTCTCGAAATTAATCGAGGGAAAAATACTTTTTGCTCTTCTTAAGACAGTTTTTATTCAGTGGGAATAATTTATTGGGTAAAGTCAAAATGTGCCTCATTGAAAATATCCCGATGTGGCTTAGCAAGGGTGAAAATGGAATATATCGGTACATTCTTTCTGGTACCCATCCAATAAATGGTCCAAATTTTTAATAAGCATAGCTCTGATAAAAAGGTGAAATAAATTATCGACTCAATACTTCTCTCAACAGCAAGGATATATATGTCCACTCCTTCTCCGCAAAACTTTGAAAATTTGTAGATAATGAAAAATAATAATTTTCAAAAATGTTCCAAAATGTTCAAAAAACGAGAAAAAAAAAACGTAGGTCAAACCTGTTAGAATATATCTGTCGATAATCCGGTTGGTGTATATTATCATCTGCAGATTGGAATTTCTATCTACCCATAATTCATTTGAGTACATTTTTTATCAACCTACTTTTCAATTTGGAAGCTAGAGAAATTTTCACAGTCGGATATATAATAAAATTTATATACTTTATGAGGTCTAAATTGATTATTTCGGGGAATTCTAAACGAAATGACATACCTAATATACCTTCTACAATATGGTGTGTTGTATAAGAAGGCATTTGTTCATAATAACCGCTGTTGATTCCAACAACAAAAATGAAATTCATTATGGATATTTTTAACAGGGCCGAACATTGAATACCCTCCACCATCCCAGCAACATCAGCAGAAATGGTTCGAAAAGTAAAGAAGCGACTTGATCGAAACCCTCGTCGCAGTGCCGAAATGGTTCGTGAGCTGAACAAATCGCAATATTCCATTCGCCAAACATTGAAAAACGAGCTCGGGATAAAGCCATTAAAATTCCAAAAAGTGCAAGAACTTACACCGCAATAGAACGAAAATAGACTCAAAAGAGCTAAAGAGTTGCTTCACTTGTCCGAATGTGGTGAACTGCTGAATTTGGTTTTCACCGATGAGAAAACATTCGTTGTCCAGCAGTTTGTAAACAAACAAAATGATTGTGTTTACTTGCCAAAGAAGTCAGCTGAAAATGTGCACCTTCGGTTGGCCACTGGAACTCATGCATGGTGTGGGCCGACATAACAGCCAATCGTCGCTCTCCGCTCGTATTAATCGACTTTGGCATCAGATTAAATGCCGAGTATTGTCGCGAAAATATTCTGGAGGATTTATTAAAGCCTTGGGCACGCAAATATTTTGGCCGCAGACCTTGGCCATTCAAATAGTACTTAGCACCATCGCACTCAGCACGCGCCACCCAAGAATGGTTAAAAAATGAGGTTCCTCGCTTCATCTGCAGCGCACAATGGCCACCAAAATCTCCGGGTACCAATTCGTTGGACTATTGTGTCTGGAGTATTTTGGAAAGCAAGGTTGGCTCTAAAAAAATACCAAAGTGTCGACCACCTCGAGCAAGCGCTTCGCCGGGAATAGACCAAAATATCGCAGAGCAACATTCGGGCAGCGTGCGACGGTTTAATTGGCCGTTTGAATGCCATTATTCACACAGGTGAACAATTCAAACAAATCTAAACTTATTCTAAAATTTGAGGCTATTTCCGATAATTTTTTGCTTTCATGCAATTAAATTAAAAAAGAAATGTAAAATTATGGCGTTTAACTTTGTTTCTGTTTTTTTTTTTTTATCTCGCCCTCTATTGGGATGTGTGAAATTTGCGGAGAATCGGATGCTCGATATGAACTTCATGGTAGTTGAAAATGTCGACATCGAAAAGAAAATACAATCGGACCCTTATTTAACACTTTGTAAGAGTTTTAACCTAGAAAGAGTCGACCGATATTGACCATCTCCCAACTCGATCTAAGTTTGATAGTAATATTACGATGTACCAAGTTTGGACCAAATCGGATTCTCCCTTCGAGTGTTATCGTGCGCACCAGTCAGTCAGAGGGACGGACGGACACTCCATGTGTCCTGAAACGGATTTGGTTCAAAGACACCTAGGGTCTAAAACCGTTATTTCGCTGAGACACGTTTTGGCCATCGCTGAGAGGGTAACTGAGAGAGTAACTGAAATTCTTCTTATGTAAAGACAACAGAGATCGTCGACAGCTCCTGTCCCTTTGTTGGAAATATTGAAAACCTTAATAAATGCAAGATTAAATTCAAATTTGAACATCGTAATATCGGCATATATCCATCATTCGCATGATTCGCATCAAAATTTTCCCATCGTAATAAATTAAATCAATATTAAAGACGTTATATGGCCTAAAAATGTTTCCATTGTTGTTGTAATCATGAACAATTTAGAATATGCTATTTTTTGGTGTTTTCTTTAAGATAACACAAATTGGAAAAAAATTAGTAAAAAAATTTAAAAAGATTTGATCGACATTTCATGTTGTAATATTTTATCCCACTTTATTAATCCGTTTATTTTAACATTTTTTTTCCAAATAAATGTGAAAAAATTCGTCGCTATATTTAAGAAACGGGGAGTGTTGCCTTGTCGTACGGTCCTGCTAGGTATTTTTGACTGTCAATTTGTCAATCGAAATTGTTAAAATAGAGAGACAAAATTGTACAGCATTCACCTTATTTTGGAAAGTAAACACAGTCGTTGAATTTATTCGCTATCGACCCCGTCTGCTTCAGAGATGAAAGAAACGATGATGCTACTCCAGAGTTCTTATAGCTTCAGGTCTCCCAAAGATTTCATTCAAACTAAATACTGTCAAATTTCCAATAGACGCAAATTATTATCATTATTATACAGTTTGCCAGCTATCAAAAGTTATTCATTCATAACGAATATATTCCGGAAAGCCTCCCCCCAATTTCTATGAACTTCACCCGGCACTGTTTATTATTATTATTGCTTTATTTTTTTCGTGTTTTTTTTTTTTTTTGGTACTCAGGAAAAATCAGAAAATGACTGTAAAATCATTATTGACCCGAAACTATAAGAACTCTAGAGTAGCATCATCGTTTTTCTTCCTCCCTTCGTCTGTGGAAATATAAAAGTATTGCAGAGGTCTTTGAACAAAACACCAACAGCAATCACAACAACGACAACAAACGAAAAGAAACAGCATCATTTTTGTAGTGGATTGCTAAACGCTACCAATTGTGTGAAACGATTGGCATTCCCTCTCGACTATCTGTTTGTAGATCGGCCTATTTGTGATCTCTCCGTGTAAATATGTATACATATTCATACGCACATACATTTTTATAAACAATCTATACAAATAGTTTCAAAAGTAAACAATACTACGGACGGACGAAATTTTCCAAAAAGTGTTGGGGGAGGGCAATGTTGCGAAAAGAGAAAAACTGAAGCAATTGCTAATTAGACAAATTGTAATACTGGTAATCAGCAGGAAGAGCACTGCAAGAAATTTGTATAGCCTGGACATCATAAAAGTTTTAAAAAAAGTCTACACTTTTTCGATACTTCTTATATGCAACAAGTAAAAAAGCAGTAAGTTCGGCATGGGCGAATTGTGAATACTTTGCATCCTTTGGAAAGAATTTGGAAATTTTCAAGGAGAGAAAATAATAAATAAATAAAATAAATTAAAAACCACTATTAAAATCATAACAATAACGAATATAGGGAGTTACAGTTAAATCTTTAATTAGACGTTGACCTGCATAGGTAAGTCTTGTCATAGGCCTTTACAATACTTATATACGAAACTAAAAAAGTTCCGGTGAATAATGTCGCAGAAACTTAAACATACTGAATATAGGGAGGTACCTCTATATGGGGGATATACGAAGACGTGGACCCGCATAAGAATTTTTTGTCATAGGCCATTACAGTATTAAAATATGAAACTTGAAACAATTCCGTGAATAATGTCGCAAAAACATCAAAATACCGAATATAGGGAGGTACCGACATTTAGAGGATAAACGAGGACCTGAACATACGTAGGCAATTTTTTGTCATAGACTGTAGTACGCATTAGGAACTTCCAATACCAAGTTTGAAACAATTCTGGTGAATAATGTCGCTGAAATCATCAAAATACCGAATAGGAGGTACCCATATATGAGGGCTATTCGGAGACCTGGACCGGCATAGACAATATTCTGTTATAGACTCAAGTACATATTAAGATTCCGGTGAATATTGTAGTACCAAAAGTCCTTCAGACGAAACACACATTTGAGTAAAATTTTATCAACCTACTTCAATTCGTTCGGGAGCTAGAGACATACAAACAGGCGGACGGTAATCGTTAAATCGATATAGAATTTGATTAAGACTTTCGAGGTGTTACAAATGGAATGACAAACATAATATACCTTCCATATATGGTGGAATTTATGAGTGATATTTTACCACAAATAGAAATTATTTAATTAAGTCTACTATTTCTTAAGTTATAAATTAAATGATTAATTTCAAAACATTTCAAAAACAGTTTAAATTACGTATGATTAATTCATACATTTGAAAAAAAACCTACTTTTCTGTAAAATAAATTTCTTACAAATTAAATAAAATTAGTCGATTTTGCCAAAACTGCATAACCTCAGCCAATGTTTTATGATTATTAAAAATGTTGATCCTTCATAGAAAACGTTCCGAAGAAGTGGACCAATATAATAAGTATTGAAAATGGTTACCCTTTGTAGGAGAGAGATACCAGATGGATTGGGCCGATATCTACAAACTTTATAACATATCCATGATCTTTATGTTAGAAGAGA